ATGCCATATTCATTTTCGTCATTTAGTTGCTCATCCTGAGACTCAACCTACATAGGTATATTACTAAAGTAACTTTAGCCCAATACCCAATAAGTGGTTTTTTCGAAAGAAAATGAATTATATTTTGTGAAATGTATACTAAAATTCCAATTTGCAGATTTTAATTACATGAATTCTACCACATGTGCCATGTGGGTACCAGATTAAATTGATTTTCGGGGATTTTATTTTTGTAAATCAGGACTGAAGGAAACCATGAAATTTACAACCCTAAAAACCACTTTTATGGTAGCCTATGGTTAAGGTCATGTAGCCCCACCCACGCACATGATTATGGACTTTATGCTCATTAGTCATTACACAGTTAAGCCTGGTTCACAATATTACGCTAGTCCTGACGTTATGTTGACGCTGGAATCATAGATATACAAACACATGGATTGGAAACGGGTGAAAAATTAGATGAGGAGGCGTGTTACGCTTACGTAATTGAGTGGGTGTAGTCATAACATATGGATCAAAATGGCTGCCTTATAGATGTAAAATTACAAACCCTGTTTATTGAATATTTCTTGACTCTATAGTATCACTGACACTTAATAACAATTCTATAATGTAAACACTAATAGTTGGAACCAAATAATAGATGCATGCATAGTAAGTTTATTAAAAACAATCAATAAATGGCAGTATTCTTCATGGCAGAAACAGCCTTAAAAATATCCACAGGAACAACACAGTCACTTCATTGTAGCTCATTACATTGGAGAGTTTCCTAGGGAACTGTACTAATACCACAGATTTTCTTCATTAGTCGTCATGAAGTTGCGAGAGGGAGAAATTCCACCGTGGGTCCGATTATTCTCGATTCCTCAATAAAACACAGCCTAAGCGAGAAATTAAGATAAGAAACACTCAGTACATTGGATAATAGCCACATCAATCCAAAGGTCTCATCATAATAGCTGTTGTGATATCAAGGTAGAAGCTGGAGGGAGAATAAGATCTCAAATACACTAAAATTGATACATTCCAGATAGTACCAGTTCATAAAATACCTTCAAAAGAGAACTTTATGCAGCCAAAGTTTTCCTAGCCCGAAGACTTCTCAAATCTTAAAAAGTCATTAGACAGTTGATTTTCTCAAGACTTTTCTGAAGAATATTCCTGACTATCTATTTTTAACCCGTAACACGCCTAGGTTTTTTTCCAGTTGTAGCCTCTCCCATTGAAATGTTAGGTGAAATGATCACGTGATCCCCACCGTTTCCAATCCATGTGTTTGTATATCTATGCTTTGACAAAACATAGATAATAAAGTAGTTCCTTTACTCTATTATCTATGGACAAAATAAGATTTATGAGCCACGCCCAAAAATCGAATCTATAATTTATTATTTTAAAATTGAAAATGCAGCTAAAAATATAATAATGCAAAAATAAGGTCAACTTTACTAACAGCTATTTTGACTAATATGCTATACTACTATACTAGTGTTTCAAAGTTTTTCAGCAATATCACTGAACCCATTCTCTTTTAATTTATCCTTCAGAGCATGCCTAGTAGGCTTGTCTGTTTGTTTTTCCCACAATAGGAGCATCAACATCATTGCCTTCTTCCTGCTATCCTCATCTTGTAGACTACTCAAGTCAGGGAAATTACTTTCATCAATGTTCAGTGTTTTTTTAAAGGCCTCAAATTCATATTTGCCTGTAATAATGCCAGAAATGTCTTGAAAGCTCAGTAGATCATCTAAAAAAATAATCATAATATCAATGAGCTGTAACTGAGTTGATGTAGCAGTAAATTAACATTATTGATTATTATTATATTATTAATTATTGTACATGTATTTGGTAGATTCTAGAACATTCATGTGGACTTTCTGTACACTTCTAGGCAATTCATTTTTGTAATCACTCTGTATGTTTCTAGACTGTTCTCTGTACTATATAAGGCACTCTCTCTTGTTCTCTCTTGTCTTTTTGTTGTCCTTCGTTGTTGTTAGTTCTTTGTTAATCATTGTCAATTCGATTATTACAACATGAGTTAACACTTACTTTCACTTGTTCTTGCTTCGCCACCTTTGCTTAACAAGTCACACTACATGAAATAAAATACACAATAATAAAACCACAACTAATGAGTAATGACACATAGATAACTATTTTATTGTAAATAAACTTGCTCCTTAGTATGCTATCATTATACCTGTTTTGCTGCTTTGCTCCAACATAATCTGAAATTATTTTCAGCTGAACAAGCATCACAGAGCTGAGGCTCACAATTGTGATAGAGAAAATGACATCCACCTTCAGGAGATGCACAGGGAACAGCAAAACTGTATTTGAGGTCACGTATCGTATTAATTTTTCTTTGGAGACATCTACAGGAACCAGTAATTACTTTTTTGCATGCTTTAACTGTTGCTGGAGATGAGAGTATGTCACTGGAGCTGTTCATTATTCTTAATCTTGTCTTGCTTCCTTTGTATACCATTTCTATTGAAATAGGAGGACCACTCTCAGATTGGAATAGAAATCGTGAGATGTTGCTGTAGTCTGTAGCAATAAGAGCAGCATCTTTGTTATTATCCATGATGGCATAGCTAATGCAAGCCTGTACATTGGCTGGGAAGTTGACACTCTCTATCTCAATGAAAGCATAATCATTCTCCTCTTCTGGTGGCGTATATTCTGCACGGGTTCTTGCTAATGGTAAATAATAGTGTACCTCATCAGGTTGCTGCTGATCATCAATGAGGATAGACTTCCCACTTTTAATTTTAGAGGCCATTGCAATTGTTGTAAGAACTGTCATAAAATCATCAGCACTCTCTGGATGCTTGCAAAAAATTTTTTTGACAGAAGATTCTGATATGATCCCATACTTCAACAGATTGGCAGCATACGGTTCTTTTTCCTGAGGATAATAAAGCTTGTCCAGGTACTGAGTGAACTCCCAAATATTGACAATGACAATATCTTCAACTTTTTCATACTGAGGCATGTAGAGGATGCTTCCAAAATCTGTGAATGTTTTTAAAAAATTATCAATCTCTTTCTTTGTCATCTCCAGCTCTATTGCTTTTTGTATAATGAAACTCTTACGCAAAATCATAACTTTTGCTCCTTTACTGTCAAGTGATACCACTAGACTCCTCAAGATTATCCATCTGAGGGGAAGGAGTAGGGTACGCTGCTTGTACTTGTATTTAATCAGATCTTCCATCTTCTCTCCAAATTTTTCTATGGATCGTTCATCATTGACATCAACCTCTAACCAGTTCTTTAGAAACTGATCTACATTCTGTGATTCTGCTTGCTTGATGATTTTGTTTTTGACTTGATCCGCTATCTTGGGATCTTCAAGCGATTCTGCTTGATTCACTACCTTGGGATCTTCAAGCGATTCTGCTTGATCCGCTATCTTGGGATCTTCAAGCGATTCTGCTTGATCCACTATTTTGGGATCTTCAAGCGATTCTGCTTGATCCACTATTTTGGGATCTTCAAGCGATTCTGCTTGATCCACTATCTTGGGATCTTCAAGCGGTTCATTTCTTGTTGCAACCATAACAGTTGCATTTTGTACTTCTTCTTCCTGATTACGCTGTTGCTGAGTGTAACCAACTGTAGCAAAATGGAGGAGATACGTGAGTCGTGACCTTTTCTTCATAACTAAAACATCATCTTTTCTTTCTTCATAGCGCTCTGAATGTAGGTCAGCATACTCATCAAGATTAGGCCCGTCTCTATTCATTGAAAAGAAAGCAAGACGAATGTGCCGATGGCAATGCAGCAGCATCATAGCTAAGAATGGGTAGAGAGCCTTATTGACACCAACGTCGATTACATTAATAAAAGAGACACCATCATGAATGAGGGTCAGCTTGCCAAGGTCATCTTTAATGCCCTTTAGTAATTCTTTAGTCTTGTTCTGCAACCATCGAATGTGCTTATCCATGACAGATTTTGGTGACTGGCTGGTTATTTCAAACTCAATATCTGCTACATAATATGGGTTTCGGCGAATGAGACCACAAAGAGTTGAAAAAATTGCTCCATATCGATTGGTGGCAAAGGACCAGGCAAATGTATGCTGTGTACTACCAAGAGCACATAAATCATATATTGACAGACACTTCTCATCTTTCTTTCTGTTTAAATAATGATCAATTTCTAATTCTGCCCCATCCTTTAATTCTATCTTTTGTTTAAGAACTGATTCCAAAATTGTTGTCTTTCCACAGTTAGGTAAACCCATGACTGCTACAAGACTTGTCGTCACTGGAACCTTTTCATTGAGAATGAGCCTCCAAAATACTTCATGGGATATCTTCTCCTCTAATAATAAAATATGCATAACATTGATCGACTAGAATTTCTTTGTGCAAAGTGATAGGTGTGGTAAACACATGGTAAAAATAGCAACAATAATAATACATCAGAAAAAGGTGACAGGTAGAAAGAGATAGGTGAATTTTATAATGGTAATTTTGTGCATTGTGTCATTGAGCATGCTCAGATTGAAACAAAACGGCCATTTTATGGCAATATCTTCGTAGAGTTGCCAATTACCATTATTAATTCTTTGCCAATAACTTATCTTTTTTGGCTCTAACTTGTTTGTGTGATGCAAAATAGATTGTTTTCATTCCAAATATGAATTTTGGCTAGCACTGCCCAGCAATTATTTCAGGGTTTCCCATAGTGCTCATGCAGGTCATTGGATTTTAAAGTTGCTCAAAATTTGACAAATACACTGGGTATTTTTCAAAAATCCCTGGAAAATATTTTCCATTTTTATAATTTTTGTAATACACATACATGTTTTTTGTGCTGTATGGAAATTTTGAGCTGATTCAAAAAATCGGATTTTTTTACAAATTTTTAAAGTTACTCAAAAAATTGGGCCGAAGTCCCTGTATAAGCTTGCCAGTGGTGGATATACTGTTCACCCCATCCCTACCCCTTGTTCTATAAACGTGGAACCTAATAATAACGTTAAGGTGTGTGGCGATAATCAGAAACTTATGCTATTTAGTAGTCGAAATGCCATGTCCTGCGCCCATACAATGGCACCAATCAATTCCCAAATCCCCCTATCATTACCGGCATCACCATAACAAATGCATGTGCCATCATAATCACATTATATAATTGGTTGCTCCCCAACATTGGCCCTGGCACGGATAATTCCAATTTGATTAACTTACTAACCCCCTAAATAATAAGTACAATGTCCCGATGTCTTTGTGGTTTGTTGATTACAATCATCTATTGTATAATAGTGAGTGGGCGTATCAAAGGCACCGCCTGTGGTTACAAATGTGATGTAACACAGCTTTCCAAAAATGACTTATGATTTCTTCTGTTACATTATACATGTTCTTATGTTATGTAGCAAGTTTGAGTTGATTTTGATCAAAATTGATTTAAAAGCTGCCCCAAAGCCATGTACTTGTGTTGACAGCATCGTGCTAGCTTGACAAGCTAACACGATACTGTCAACACAAGTACGTAGCTACTGAAGCTAGTTTTGCTTAGCCACCTCCCTGCTTATCATGAAGCTCATGCTATTAAGTTACTTCACTTAGCATGCTTTGTGGGAAACCACGATTAAGTTATACAAATTTTGGCACTAATCATAGAAGACCTACTAAGTGGTTTGATAAGAAGCGAGACAGGTATATCCTCAACGACATCATCAAAATCACTTGTTTCCTGGTAAACATACTCCCTGCCGTCGCTTGTTAGAAACCGAGAGCCACCTTCATCAGCAGCAGGACTAACGGCAACTGGTTCAGGTTCAGTTAGATAATCATCCTCTAAGTATGCATGTACATTAATTAACTGATTATAAGTGTAAAAGCAACTTACCTCTGTTGTCAGATCGGTTGTCAGCCATTGATTGATTCTTTCCCAAAAGTCAAAACATGAAAACAAAATAACTAAATTAATGAATTAATGATTTAGATTTCCACACCCAACACATTAATAACGTAAATACAGGAAATAAATAAATAAAGCAGCCTAAAATCAATGAATTAAAAGAATTTTTATTGTAAATATGTAAAGCTTTAAAGGCGCACTTCAAGCTCAGTCTTTAATCCCTTGCAGTTCCCTATCCAGTGCATCAGCAACATTAGGAATGCTACCAATCCATCATTCTTCACTTTTATATTATCCCAAACTTCCTTTTTTTGTTTGCAATAATATTCAACAGCTTCAGTTGACTTTTGTCATGCACAATCCTTTCTGACAACTTAACTACAAGATTGGCTAACTTGGAGGCCTTGAAAGAATCTATAAAAATATAAATAACAATATCATACATGCATGTACTACGTAAAAACATTTTCATTAGTATGCATAAGTATTGATCAATTTAAAAGTTGGTTTCTAGGGATCTTGCATCTGCTACTGCTATATGAGAAACTGTTGTGTTTTGCTACAAAACATGCATCCATTAACTCAATCATTATTATTATTATCTCCATAGGTGTTGTTTATTCACAGTATAATCAGTCGTAACCCAGATAACTTTAATGGTTGCTATAAAAATGTCATTAAAAATTGAAAATTGCTCTATAAATTAAACCTGTATCTATTTTTCAGTTCACACACATACATGAGTTTATACTATAATTTAGTAGAGTGCTACTTGTGGGGTCGTGGCATTCCTATTTCCTCCAATTTTTCTTCCAGAAGAGAAGCGTTAACACATTTCTTCTCCCAAGCCAACAGGATTATCATGGCAGCTTTCTTTTTGTCACTAAGATCCGGAGGTGCTTCGATTTGTAGTACTTTAGCAAGTCTAGATACATCTATATCAGATTTTTCAAGCCATTCTCCAACTTCAATAATTGTGTTAGATCCTATTGGATCACCTATAGGGAAATTAATAAAATTAATGTGCACAATTATTAGTCAAACGTGACTATGAGGCAATTCTCGATTTAAATTTTTTTGATGCGCATACATTTACATGTTCTAATGTTGTATAGAATAGAAAGTTAAATACCCTGTAGTATAATAGTACAGGGTCCTTGGTCCAATTTTTGAGGAACTTAAAAATTCATAAAAAATTAATTTTGATCAGAATCAACTTAAACTGTCTCAATTATAAAAATAAAGAATTCTCTCCTAGTAAATTTTGGCCATTTTTGATGAAATACCCTGTACTATAGTACCGTGTCTTTTGCCTGATTTTTGAGTACCTTTAAAAATTCATTAAAAATCCAATTGTAATTAGAATCAGCTCAAACTTTCTACACAAAATTAGAACATGTATATGTATCATAAAAATTATAAAAATGGAGAATTTTCTCCTGTCAATTTTGGCCATTTTTGATACAGGAAATATTGATTACCATTCTCAGCTATCTTATCAGCACTGTGCTTCAATTCTCTACACTAAAAGCAAAAAATACCAATTATAAACATAGGTATAGTACATTGTATATCTACCTTTTTCGCTGCTTCAACCCAGCATGATCTAAAGCTATTTTGATCGATTGCCTCTAAACAGGTACATTCCTCAAGCTCTTTATTGCAGTAGAGTGTGTGTCGTTTACCCTTCTTATGGCCACATGGAATTGTAACTTCGTGTCTCAAGTCTCGAATTGTATTAGCTCTTCTACCCAAGCAGTGACAGAAAGCATAAAAAACTTTTGTACACGCATCAACTACAGACTCAAATGTGGTGGCGTTAATATTGTGTCATACTAGGAGCCTGGATTTCTGTCCTTCATAAATCAAGTCAATTCGAACACCAGGAGTACTGCCCTTAGATTGAAACTCAAATTTTGTGACGTTTGAATATTCAATGGGACAAAGAAGAACATCGTCATTCTCCTTCATTACTCCTTGACTGATGCATGCTTGAAAATTAGCCGGAAAGTTAACGCTCGCTACTTCAAGGAAAGCACAATCATCATCATTCTCCGATGGGNTGTAGTTATCACCACTTTTAGCTGAAGGAATATAGTAGTACACACCAGGCTCAAGGGGTGCATCATCAATGAGAATAGATTTCTCACTCTTTATTTTAGCAACCATTACAAATGATGTCAGTATTTCCATTAAACTGTTCACAACATCAATGCCTAACAATGCCTGAATAGACTGGAGTGAAATGATACCATACTTCAATAGACGCTTGGCATCTGGTGCCTCAGGATTAGGAGGATAGAACAATTTGTCAAGTAACTGAGTGAATCCATAAATATCGACAATGACCAGATGCTTGATATCTTCAAATTGAGGCATGTATAGAATGCTACCAAACTCAGTGAAGGCAACGAGAAAATCTTCCACATCTTTTAGATTCATATTCAGATGAGCGGCTTCTCTGATTATAAAATCTTTATGCATAATAATAGCTTTTGAATTGGGCTGATGGGAAGATTGTGGGTTTAGTGACGAAACGAGACTACGCAATATGATCCAACAAAGAGGAAGGTCAAGTTTGTACTGATCGACCTTTTTAATGATATCCTGAAGAGTCTTACCAAGGCTCTTTAAGGTACCTGTATCCCTCAAATTAACAAGCTCCCATTCCTTCAGGAACTTGTCAACACCTTCATTCTCTGCTTCCTTTAATATTGCTTGCTTTGCTTCTTTTACAGAGTCTTCTTCAGGCGCAGTGACAGCATCAGAGAAAGTGCTTCCTTCTTTTGTAGCAACCATTACTGTGTTGCATGCATCAATGGCGTCAGGATCATTTTTCTTATAACCAAGAGTACCAAAATGGAGGAGATATGAAAGTCGAGACCTTTCTCTCATAACTATTTTGCTATCATTACACTTGTCATAACGGCTATGAGATAAATCAGGAACCTCTTTAAGGTGAGGAGCATCTCTATCCAATGAGAAGAAAGCAACACGAAAATGTCTCTTGCAAGACAATAACATTATCGACAGAAAATCATAAATAGCTTTATTGACCCCAACATCCATGACATTGATGAGCGAGATACCATCTTGAATGAGTGACAGCTTCATTCTTTCCTCTTTGATCTTTCCCAAGTGATTGCTGACCTCCTCCATCAGCCATTGAACGTGCTTATCAACGAATGATTCTGGCTTTTTCTTAGTTAACTCAAAAACAGCTTCAGTAATTGAAGAATACTGACGTGCAAGAGAGCAAATGATCGAATTAATTGCACCATAGCGATTAGTGGCAAAGGACCATGCATACTCGTCATGTGGCAAGCCACCAAGCACGCACAACTCGTAGATTGAGAGACACTCGTTGTTTCTTTTTCTTTTCATGTAGTCGTCAAAGCTAAATGTTAACCCTTCTTTTAGCTTTATAAACTCTTTAAGCATCCCCTCTATGGCTGTCGTCTTTCCAGTGCAAGGTAGACCCATGAAGGCTACTAGGCATGTGGTCACTGGAATTTTCTGATGAAGGATGACATCCCAAAACTTTCTTTGAGTGATTACTATAACAATGGAATATTGGATAAAATGATTTACATGCATTTTGGAACCAAGTCAAGTTTAAAAATGAGACACAAAATTGATTACAGTTTTACGATTAACACAAAAAGGGGGAGAACAATTTTATACTCACAAAACAATCATAAGTTGTTTCAAACTTACTTTCTGCATCTTGTGAGTGTACGTCAAGTGATATGATAATATCCTCAACCAAAGTACCACAAAAGCTCTTAGTTTCATAATCAAAACTCTCATAGCCAGTACAGAGATCAGCATCGGACTGTCTGGCTCCTATTCCAGCATTGGCATCAAATGGAGTGGGATTCTACGAGGGGTTTTGTTGATAGGAGAGAGGATCAGAATCAGCTTCATGTTTGTGATCCTGTCCTGTTGGTGCCCGGACACTGTCAACAACATCTACATGTATGCTGTCTCCAGATACAGGCTCAGCTTTTATGCTATAAATAAAACCATTATTATTTTGCACGGAGTAAAAGCTAGTAAAAGGTCACCTTGTTATGTTGTCTCTTCGGTCTTCCCTCTCCATAAAGGCGACAAGGCGTGGCTGTCTACATAGGCGGGGCTCAAAGGAGTATTTTACAGCTTACTCAACTTTTTTAATATTCTTAAGGTGTTTATCTGTTTAAACATATTCATGAAGACATAGTTATGACAATTGGTATTCTCCATAGCATTCATATCATTAACATCAAACAGAATTATTCATGAATGGTTTAAAATAATAACAAGTCTATTTATCAATAAAAATAATAACAAGTCTATCTATCAATAATTACTATTAAAATTAATCCAACACATAGTCTAGCAATAATGTAGAAACAGTATAGATATAGTATAACAGTATAGATATGGTATTGTAATTATTTGAGTTAATATACATCACTTTTCATTTCAGTATCCAGTTTATTGGCAATATGAGCAAATCCACTACTTTCTAATATAGTTTTTAGTGCATGCTTAGTTGGTGTTTTTGCCTGCTGATTTTCCCAATGTAGGAGCATCAGCATCATTGCCTTCTTTTTGCGCTCACTATCTTCTGGATCAGGAAGCAAAACATCTTTGATGTTAAGTGCTTCTTTCAAGGCATCAAAATCATACTCATCAGTAACGAGACCAGCAATGTCTTGTAATGTAAGTGGAATATCTGTACGACAAGTTTCTTTTAATCTTGCTCCATCATCTTTCTTTAATTTTTCACACTACATAAATTAACAAAGCATGAATATTAAGGTTAATGAAAAATGAGTGTATAGATCTAATTCTGGTGTTGCTAATTACCTTATTTGCTGCTTTACTCCAGCATAATCTGACATTATTTTCAGCTGAACAAGCATCACAAAGTTGAGGCTCACAATTGTAGTAGAGATAATGACATCTATCAGGAGACTCACAGCAAGGCACAGCAAGACTGTATTTGAGGTCACGTATCGTATTAATTTTCCCTTCAAGACATCGACATGAAGCAGTGATTACTTTGTAACATGCTTCAACTGCTGCTGGAGATGTGACAATGTCATTGGAGCTGTTCATTATTCTTAATCTTGTCTTGCTTCCTTTGTATATCATCTCTATTTCAATAGGAGGACCACTTTCAGATCGGAATTGAAATTGTGAGACATTGCTGTAGTCTGTAGCAATAAGAACAGCATCATCATTATTATTCATAATGGCATTGCTAATGCCAGCTTGTACATTGGCTGGGAAGTTGACACTCTCTATCTCAATGAAAGATAATCATTCTCTTCTTCTGATGGTGTGTACACTTCACGAATTCTTGCTAGTGGTAAATAATAGTGCACTTCAGGCCAAAGAGGGTTCTCATCAATGAGAATAGACTGACCACTTTTGATTTTTGAGGCCATTGCAATAGTCGTAAGAACTTTCATAAAATTTTCAGCAAATACAACAGGATACTTGTAGAAGATTCTCTTTATGGATGATTGTGATATGATTCCATACTTTAGCAAATTGGTAGCATATGATTCCCTTTTCTGAGGATAGTAAAGTTTGTTCAGGTACTGAGTGAACTCCCAAATATTGACAATGACAATATCTTTAATATCCTCATACTGAGGCATGTAGAGGATGCTGCCAAAATCTGTGAATGTTTTTAGAAAATTTTCGACTTCGTCCTCTCTCATATTCAGCTTTTCTGCCATTTCTATGATATATTTCTTGGACAGGATAATTGCCTTTGTTTCAGTACTGTCCAGTGACACGACAAGACTCCTCAAAAATATCCATCGAAGGGGGAGCTGTATTGTGAGCTGCTCATATTTGTTCTTGATAATATCTTCCATCCTCTGACCAAATTCTTTATTAATGGATTGGTTGTCATCAATATCAATTACTATCCAGTTCTTTAGAAACTGGTCTACACCTCTTGATCTTGCTTGCTCAATTATTTCCTCTTTGGCTTGATCCAGTGAAGGTGTGCTTCCTGTTGCTGGACTTTTCCTTGTTGCTATCATAACAGTAGCATTCTCTGTTTCTTGTTCATGCTGGTCTTTTGTGGTGTAACCAACCGTAGCAAAATGGAGGAGATATGTGAGTCGTGACCTTTGCTGCATAACTAATACATCATCTCTTCTTTCTCCATAACGTTGAGATGGTAGGTCGGGTTTCTCACCAAGGTTAGGCCCATCTCTATTCAATGAAAAGAAAGCAAGACGAATGTGTCTGCCGCAAGAGAGCAGCATCATAGATAAAAAGTCGTAAAGAGCTTTGTTGACGCCAACATCCATTACGTTAATAAGAGAAACGCCTTCTTGAATGAGGGTGAGTTTGTCCGAGTCATCTTCAATTTTCTTAAATAAATCTTGAATATTAGCCATCAACCATTGAACATGTTGGTCAATGACAGAATCTGGCTTTCGATTTCTGAGTTTAAACACAATTCTTGATATGATTGGGTACTGACGAATGAGACCACAAAGAATTGAAAATATTGCTCCATAGCGCTTGGTGGCAAAGGACCAGGCATACATGTTATGCCGTGAACTGCCAAGAGCACACAGCTCATATATTGACAGACACTGTTCATTTTTCTTTCTTTCAAAGTAATGATCAATTTTTGCTCCATCTTTCACTTTTACTTTTTGCCTCAGAATAGATTCTAAAACTGCTGTCTTTCCAGAACTAGGTAAACCCATCACTGCTACAAGACTTGTTGTCACTGGAACTTTTTCATTGAGAATGAGTCTCCAAAAAACATCATACGAAATCTCCTCATCTAAAAATAATTAAAAAAGAGTTAAACAAAAAAGTGAAACTAGAGGGGAAATGCAGGGTTCCCCACAAAACATGCTAGATGAGCTAAAAAGCACAATACATGGCTCCTGAAGCAACTTTAAATATTCATAAAAATCAAATTTTGATTGGAATCAGTTACACAACTTAAAAACATCTATCTATACCAGAAAAAAAAACAATAAACTTCATTTTTCTTTTGGAAAAATTGGCTGACCCTGTACTATAGTACAGGGACTTCGGAGCAACTTTAAAAAATCATAAAAACTCCTATTTTGATCAGAATAAGCTCAAACTTGCTACACAACATGTATATGAATCAAAAAATTTGTCAAAAACCTTGTACTATAGTACTGCCAATTTTGAGTAATTTTAAAAATTTGTCAAAAATTTAATTTTGGTCGGAATCAGCTCAAACTTGCTACATAAAATACATGTACATAATGGATAAACACCTCCTATGGGAGTTGGAAACTGAGGGCGAAGCCTATACAAATTCCAGAAACACCTCATAGGAGGTGTTTATCTGCTTTAAACATATTCATGGAGGCATAGTTATGACAAGTGGTTAATTAGGTCACACTTGTTCAGAATGAAGAATTTCCTCCTAGTCATTTTTGAAGAAATTTTGCCAATGTCTCTGTACTATAGTAAACTGGGCTTCGGCCCATTTTTGAGCAACTTTAAAAATTCGTAAAAATCTAATTTTGGCTGGAATTAGCTTAAAATTTCCATACAGCACAAAAACAGGCATCATTATGTATTAAAAAGTATGAAAATGGAAAATTTTTTTCTCCAAAATTTTTGAATAATACCCTATACCGTATAGTGGAAAATTTTCATGGCCCAAAATTTCTGCCTGAAAATCAATTTTGTGGCTTTAATTTTTGTGGTCTTCTACATTTCGGCCATCTTAAACCATATAGAATCGATTTTTGCAGATTTTAATTTCGTGGGTTTGAAAAAACATGAAACCTATGAAAATTTTGGGCCACGAAAATTTATGCTATACGGTATATTATACATGTAGCTGCATGGTATTTTGTCAAAATTTTGAGCAAATCATTTAAAATCTTATTAATTCATAACTTACCAAGTGGCCTTGCTAGGAGTTTAACCTCCAGTGTAACGGGAATATCATCAAGAGTACCAGCAAATTCACTATCATCTTGGTATGAACCAAAGCCCCCGGGAACAAATTCAGGTTTACTGTCATTGTCAGAGGGACTGGTCTCTTCTGGTTCTTGCGGTTCATAGAAAGAAGATACATTGTCACCAGATAATTCGTCACTGGATTTAGCTTCGTCTCTACAAAAGATGTAAGCGTAGGCAGAACATGAAAACTTGCAAAATCTTAAAGTTTTGCCTACTTCTTATGTGGGTTTTTAGATGTCATCTTATCAAGTTCACCTCGTCTTTGTGGATTATTACTTATTAGATCTACGCCCATTATTTACAAATACGCCCACTAATAATAATTTGATAATCTAATTATGATAATAAGCAAAACAAAAAATAATTTTTAAAAAGAATTATTATTAAAAATAATTATAAAAATATATGGAGCTCTTTCAGAAGTTCATCCTTCGATTTTTTGTGCCTCTTCATCCACTGATCAAGCAACACCGCAAATGCCATCCACCCACCACCAGTCTTGACTTTAATATCATCCCAAATTTCTCGTTCTACTTTTAACTGTCTCAACAAACTCAACTGACTCTCATCATCTACAAACTCTTCAGATAGCTTTACTGCAAGACTAGCCAGCTCCAAGGAATCTGAAAAAATACATTATTAATATTCAGTTTCACAATTAATAGCATTGTGTATTTTTCATAAGTTATATATATTTGGGAGCAAACATTGATTTGATAACTGTCGTTATACCACGACAGGAACTACCATAACATCATAAATACCTTTCGTTGTCCCTAATTCTTTTCCATCACTTTCAATAAGCTATAAATTAAATATACATTATAAAAGAATAAGACTCTTAAAATGCTTATACCATTTTAGAAACAGATGATTCCCAATGTTCCCGCAAGGAAACGGGATAAGAATCACTGGGCTCAACTTCACTGCATTTTTTGCATGAAGTGTTCTTGTCATTTTCCATTCTGTGATACTGATAGATGAACTGGTGATCATCACTCTTAGTACAACGCAACAAAAAATAATACGTTAAATCATCGACCGACTTCTTGACATCTTCCATGGCAGCAGTGCATGCTTTGACTACCAATGGGAAAGCTGTTTTGTATGCTTCTGCAAAACGACCGTGTTCCAATCTCAGCTCCACAATATCTTTATGGTCAATTATGGTAACATCAACGTGCTTCTCTTTACTGTGATGTATCCTGATGATCGAAGTATTGATGTGTAGGCAAGGAACAAGAGAGCAATTGCTGTATTTGAGGAAATGACGACTCAAAAGAACTTGAATATTCCCAGGTACACATGATGTGTACTGGAGGTAGAGAGAATAAAACTGAGGACCATTGGTTGCTTTTGAAGGACGCATGCTGGGAATGTAGAACGAACGATCTGCTTCAATAAAGAAACTATTACTCTTCACTTTGGATGCGCAAACTGGAACAGCGAAACAAAAAGACTTCAAGAGGGTCTTAAACATTCCAGAGTCTAACTTCTCATCTTTTGCTAACTTATCAATGGCTCCTTCAGTAATGAATCCATAGGAACTTGCTTTATCAAGAGATTGGCCACAATCAAAGACCTTGTCGAGGCAATCAGTGAATCTCTCGATATCCAGCAGGACAATATCAGTGTAGGAGGGGATGTAAAGGAGACTGGCAAAGCTTGTGAAGGTGGTCAGAAATGCTTCAACTTCACTGGAATCTATACCAGCACCACATGAAGTGGCCAATTTACTGATATCACTTCTAGTCATAAGTGATACATTTAAAGCCTGGAGAAGGCTGCGTAGAAAAACCCACCTTACAGGTAGACCCGTAACATACTTAGCCATATTTCTGACAACCATTTTTTCAAGAATCTTCTTGGTCTGTTTCATATCTGAGAGATCGACATCTTCGAAAGTAGCTTTGACGGCACTTTTCTTAAATATTTCCTTGAGATTATCCAATCTCAATGATTGCTGATTACAGGACAGCTGGTGCATGATGATTGGTGGCTCTGAAGTTTCACTTGATAGAGATCTTACAATGTGCTTGATAAACTTCTGTCTTGACACATAAACATTAAGTAAATGGTTGACAGACATTTTGCATTCTTCATAGCACTCAGAATCCAGTGGCTTACACAAGTCAGTACCATCTGCCCTGGATGCAAAAAATAATGGCAGTGATCTCTTGCAATGCTGGCCAAGAAATGGGAGGAAGTTGTATGCTGCTTTGCTTTGACCAATATTGAAGACGTTGAGGAACGTAACGCCGGGCTCAAGGAGATCCAGTTTTTCCTGGTGATTCTTGAGAGCCTTCAGCCTCTTCGTTACTTCATAAAAGAGCCACTCCCCATGCTTGTTCTGCTTCAGATCCTCTTCATTAGCATCTGCTTCATTTTCTGCGATATCCAATAATTTAATTGGAATTTTTCTTAGCTTAAGAGCTTGAAGGAGGCAACAGAGAAAGCAGAGGCTGATACTTGAACGCTTAGTGCCCAACAACCACATGAGATCATTGAAAGGGAATTTTCCCAAAATATTGAAATTAAAAGAAGACAGGCCCTCCTTAGAACACCTTTCCTGTAAGCTGGCAAGATATTGCTTTGCTGTTTCCGATTCTGGATTTCTAAATCGAACAGCTATCTTTAAAAAATCTTGAAATAAATTAGCTTTTCCTTTAGGAGAGAGGCCAGTGAGAGTAGCGACACACATGAGCACTGGAACAGAACTGGTCTTTACCAAATCAAGCAAAAGTGGAAAATCTAACTTCAGTTCTTTTGGTACAGAAAGACCTATATAAATAATATTAATTATATGTAATGAAATTAGTGCAGTCATTACTTCTTGGGATTTCCATGGTTTCCTTATCAAGCCCCAGAGCTTCTTCTGTATTGCTAGTTTGAGATTGTTCATCAAGAGAATCAGAAGACTTTGAGGGAAGTTCTGCTTTAGTAGAAGTCATAGGTTTCTCATCGTAGATCAATCTATTCATTGTGCAACTAATGTTGGATTCTTCTGAATAATGCTCTGTCAAGTTGTCCATGCCAGGGACCATGTTCTGTGGGACAGACTTCATCTTATGATCTAACTGGATAACAGCATGCGACTCTTGACCATCACTCTCCTTAGCTTCCATGTAAATGTCACATTCATTTTCATCATTCAGTTGCTCGTTCAGAGGAGCCTCAACCTACATAATAATTAATCATTATGTACATTGAAGCAAGCTTAACCGCAGCTAGCTAGCTAGTAGTCAGGCGGAGCCTGCCTCTCGCGAAAAACGGAGAGTCAGGTTCAGTACGGTAGCTAGTTTTGTGTCACGGGTGGAGCTGACAGCATGCATATAGGTGGGGCTGAAAATGAGCACCGCCCATACGCGTGTAAACATGACCGTCGTTGTATGTTTAGGCTGTGGTAAAGACTTAAGCAAAGAGAGCAAAAACAGATGTGATCCAGCAGCAGAAAGGTGCAGAGATGTGATAAATGTTAAGACAATAATTACTGAATGGTCAATAAGACTTGGAAGAGACATATAACACAAAGACTTTCCATAGCCAGTGGGTAGCACTATGAAAACATCTCTTCCTTCGAGGAAAGCCTTGATAGCTGCCAACTGCTCCTCCTTTAAGACATAGTTCAGCTTTCTAAACACCATTTCCTTTACATCCATTTTAAAATAATTTATGATAATGTTATTCATGTCTTGTGTGGGTGTTATTTGGGTCATTGTGACTCATTTCCTGCTAGCGCAGAAATCCTGCGCTTGACACAAAACTAGCTACCGTACTGAACCTGACTCTCCGTTTTTCCGCAAGGGGCAGGCCCCGCCTGACTAGCTAGCTAGCCTGTGCTAACCGGGCCCACCCATGATCACCTCAGCTATAGGGTTTGGCGGATTATGCTCTAAAATTGCTCTATTATGCTATGCTGCAATTCTCAGGAAACAGCTCTATTATGCTCTACCAATCAGCTATTATGCTCCCAATTATGCCCATGAATTTCATTATAATAACTTAGCCCCACCCAAAAATGTGAGCCAGTAATTCAATTATGAAGTTCTTGAAAGTATTGTGAGCAATAGTATCTGTTTAAACATGAAAACAGTTAATTTACTGAGTGTAAGTGCCTGTTTATTGCACTTCTCAATCATTTTTTTCAAAATTTTCTATTATAGCTCTATTATGCTCACATTATGCTTATGCTTTTGGGGCCTATTATGCTCAAAATTATGCTGGCATAATCCGCCAAGGCCTACTCAGCTAGCTAGCTCATTAAAAAGCGCATGTGTCCAACGTACCCTAACAGAATCCTGTGTAAATTTATGAGAAGGTGGCTCTTCTAGAGGCTGGGAGCTCACAGCATTAGGAGGATCTACTACTCTCATAGAATTAGAGCTTGCCATCAAGTTGAGACTTGAGCTTACTCTCGCGTAGCTATCGAGGTAGCGAGTACAAAATCCACGCCCAACCCCCAACTGGGGGTTACAAAACAAAAGTTGATCACAGGAAATGAATAAAGCAGCCTAAAATCATGAATCCTGTATATACAGTATTTTTGATAGAATCAATGAATTAAAAGAATTTAAAAATATAGACCTTTTCACGATACGCGACTGGTGGAATGTTAATAAGATGTAAATTGTATTCACGATAGGGTGCGGTCAGATTTCACCCACTGGGGGGAAAGATTATAGCTGTGTCTATGGAGGAGATGCCTAAAAGCTGCTGTTTAGTCAAATGCAATGACTGGTTGGGCAAAAAAAGAGAATTAAAAGTCTTTAGATCCCTTTTAAAGGATGAGGAATGCTGTGAAAGATGGACAGCAGCTGTAAGACGTTGCAAATCTGCCATAATGTTGCTAGAATCTTTACTGAGATTTATAAACTGAAGGAAAAGGCTTGGAATGTAGTCTGGATGAGTTGAGACACTGTCAAGTTCTCCTGCAGATTGATTAAATAAGTGAGTACTTGGACTACATGCAAAATTGTTTTACCAGTATACTGGTTAAGCTCCAGTAATGTACATTACAAATGCTCATCATTTATCATGGAGCTCTTCTTTGCTGCAGTGCTCTCGTCTCACAGCTGCTGCCCATCTTTTACAGCATTCCTTATCATTTAGAGGAAATTTAAAGACCTTTAATCCCTTGTTTTTGCCCAACCAGTCATTGCATTTAACTAAACAGCAGCTTTTAGGCATCTCCACCATAGGCACAGCTATAATCTTTCCCCCCAGTGGGTGTAATCTGACCGCACCCTATCGTGAATACAATTTACATCTCATTAACATTCCACCAGTCGCGTATCGTGAAAAGGTCTATACAGTATTTTTGATAGAATCAATGAATTAAAAGAATTTAAAATTAAACTATTAGAAATTATATAAAAATATTTAAAGCCTTTCAAGTTGCACTTCAAGCTCATGCAGTCTTTGATCCTATGCTGTTCCCTACAGTGCCTATCCAGTGCATATAGAGGTTCTGCGCGAGTCAATTAATTAATGCACTTCCTTGACAACCGTTGCTATCCGCCATGTTGGGTGTCTGAGAGCGCGATAATAGAGCGGTTTCATATGACGTCACAGCATGCGTCATAATTACTTCCGTATGGCAAAATGGCTACTTCGCCATTCATTTGTACAGCGCTATAAACTCTTCTGGCAGGCTTCCTTAACTATGAGCATGGCTAATTCATGCTGTTCTTTCATTTGCCTAAACCCAGGGATGCAAAGGAAGCAAAAATTCCTCGGATAGAGAACCAGTGAAGCGGCCGAAGTGAACACAGCCTTGTCTTGTTACTCCTATAATTATTTCTATCGCTACTTTTCTGCTTACTACTGCTATAACTTTATTCATTTTCTGCCTTGTACTGTATGAAAGAAGTTATAGAAGAATTAACTTTACTGCTGTAAACGAGTGAGGCTCATCAATTTTTGCCATACGGAAGTAATTATGACGTCAAAAGGTGACGTCACTGAAACCGCTCTATTAGCACGTGGGTGTACGTGGTTGCAATGCCTGGACACTCTTGTTGTATTATAAACTGTGAAAGCAGGTCTAGCCTGTCATCTAGCTCATCTTCTACATGAT